TGAGGAGGGGCTTCCGGGCAGCGGGTTGAAGGGGCTCCCGGGCAGCGTATGGAAGGGGCTTCCGGGCAGCGGATTGGAGGAGGGGCATCCTGGCAGCAGGTTCGAGGGGCTTCCGGGCAGCGGATTGGGGGCACCTCCGGCCAGTGAATTCAAGGGGCCTCCGGGCAGCGGGTCAGAAAGGCTTCCCTGGGACATGGAGTTGGAGGCTGCAAGGGACGGACCTGAGCTTGGTCTTGACGATTTTGAGCCAGAGAGTACTGGTGGTTCGGATACACAAGAAGCTTCGGACGAGATGGACGTGGTTGATAAGTGGATTCTCTGCCCGGAGAACGAAGCAGGGGCGAATGAGGACGAGGCTGGTGGGGGAGGGGGGGGAGATGAGAGTGAGCAGGAAACAGTGGTTGTCGAACGTGGACAAGGAGAGGCGGAGGGGGGCGGACAGAGCGACGAAGAGAGGAAGGAAGAGGAAGAAGAAGAGGACGAGGACGAGGATCGAGATGATATGGACAGCGACGGAGGGGAAGATGATGACGATCGCAAACCTCCCCCCGGGGGAGCCGGAAACGGCGCAGCGGATCGTCGCGGCCGGGACGGCGGATCTGGTGACGGAGACAGAGACGGCGGCAAGGGTGGCGGCTCCAGTTCTTTCGAGAACGGCGACACGGGATCGTGGTTCTTGCCCGAGTGGGACGCCGGTTGTGGTCTTCGCCGTGGCGTTTACGTCCCGCTTCGGGTTGCTGACGTCAGCGGCGCTCGCAACCCCCAGCCCGTGGCTGCCGGCGGCCAAGAGATGCAGCTCTCCCGGGCTGCGGTTGCTGACGTCAGCGATGTTCCGGCAGGGAGTCCGCTTCACAGCGTGGCCTGGGAGGTCCAGGTGAGGTCCTTGGCACCGGGCGCAATTGCGGAAAAGTGTGTGTCTCGAAACGTGCAAACGACCTCTTCCGTTAGCCATAGATGGTTGACGTGTTATCATAGTTCCGTCCTGTACTGCAGCCCCAACCGCTTCGTCGGAGGTTTGGTTTTACTTTGCTAGAAGTACGCGCTTCCGACCGATCTGTGCTTGCTAGACGGTCATTGACATGACTCCTGCTGACTTTAGTCATCTCCTCCTTTTGCTTGTGTTTCTTGGGCCTGGCAATGGCGTCCCCAAACAGTTCTTAGCCTCTATGTTTATCCTAATTGCAAATAACGCCATCCCTTCGTGCAGGCCCCTCCTCCACCAGCTCCCCTCATGCCTGACGATGACGAAGGGTCCAGCGAACCAAGGCCCGGGTTAGGCCTACAGGGCTGGGTCGGAGGAGCCTTCAAGAAAAGCACCACAAACCCGAGATCCGAAACCAGCGCGGCCACAGCCCTGGAGGTTTCCGGGGCTGAATTAGGTGGAGGAACAAGCGATCGTCCGGAAGAGGGCCCCGTGGCTGACACTGCCAAGGCTGTCGACATCGCGCAGATGGGCATTGCAAACCTGGACCTGAACTCCACAGTAGGGCCTTCGCGGATCTGCTTATTTGCTTATAACCCGTTCTTTGAGCTCGTATAGCGTTCTTTGAGAGCTTGTAACGTTCTTTGAGAGCTTATACGTTTCTTTGAGAGTAGCCGCCCAGACTCACGCCAGAATTTGTTAATCGGCCAGCGGTGTCCTCCACGTACTCCTGTCTAAATGTCGACGGATGAGAATCTTAAAAGCCTCCATGATTTGTGCATGTTCCTTAAAGGGAGCTTCGAGTTCCTCACTCAAGCAGCTATTTCTCGGAGCAGAGAATCCTAGCAACCGGATTTTTGCTGTTAAGTCTCCTACGTTGATCAGAAATGTTTCTCAGCTTTTCAAATCACTTCTCACCCTGGATCCGTTGTCAGTCCTTCTTTCCACAGCGCTCTAGAACAACGATGGATGGCTCTGACGACACAGCGCGTCGAGCTCGAAGAAGCGCCTAAAGAAAGAACGTTTAGACCGCCTGACGCCGACTTCGTTTGCTGATGCTCGTAGATTGTTTTGACGTGCTGTCTGGAGGCTCTTAGGAGTTATATTGAATACAATCTCGCTCATGTCGAACTTCCCAGAAATCGCTCTCGTTCATGTCTCTGTAAGCTTTTGATTCTCACCTATTGGGATTACAGTTACATCAGCCATTAATCTTCCATTTGTCTGCTAAAGCTCTTAGTATTCCACCATATTCTGACGTCATCTTTCCGTCATGGTGTGGCAGGGTCTGACGCACCCGCGCGCGTGTAGTCCGTGGTATGAACTATGGCTGCTCGGTTCTTCCGGAAGTCAGGGCAGATTTTGGTTGAAACAAATTGCATGAGACTTTTACTGCCCGAATATCGAGGCTCTTTCCGGCGTCCGCAGATATTGCACGACGCCATCTTCCTCTTTTAAGGTGCAGATCCGCATGGAACTAAGGACCAGTTTTCTTGAAACTTGCATTATGCAGGTTTTGCCGGACGTCCCCGCCAAGTACATGTGTCCGATCACGGGAGGCGATATGGTGGATTCAGTGTTTCTCTTCAGCAGCGGCCAGTCCGACGAGAGAGCCACAACTGAGCACCGGCTAAGGTACAGCGAGCAACCCTCTCTTCTGCGAGGTTGTTAGATTCCAGAAGCATCTCACAGCGGTTAGCTTCATCTGTAAATGATTCTGGCTTTGCTTTCAAGTAATGGACAGCCGACTTCTGCAACTCGGGTGAGAAATCTAGGTTTTGGTTCAATCATGCTTCCTTTGTCGGACCACTTTCGTTTGTAGAAGAAGCTCGGCTCGAACTTTGGATGAGCGCCAATGCCTTCCTGCTTGTCCCTATTCTTCGGGCAAGTTCTTGGTACTCTCTGGCTGCAAATGGCTAAGCTCCTTTGTCTCTTCTTTTGTTCTCCTTGATGTTGCAAAAGAAGTGCTTTTCACTTTTGTTTAGGTAGCTGGACTTTTTGGACCCCCCTCTCAAGAAGGCTGCTAAGGCTGGAGTACTGCAACTAGCTCCGAGGCTTGGCCTTAGGCCGCTCCCTTGAGGTTCTTTAGCGGGTTCAGGCGGGTCCGACTTCGCTTTTTTGCATTTCCTAAGGTAACCGCTCCTAGGAGCGGCGGCTTTCATTGCAATGTTGACTGTGGGAGTTCTTATTCGACTTGGGTTCCATTTAGCGTCAGCACACAAGCTCTCGCAGTTCATGAGTCCGTGGATGAGGATCCAGAAGAAAACAGGACGAAGGAAGCTCCTACTTTTCCGCAGCTTCCTAGACGGTGCCCGGCGGGAGTCGGAGTCTGACAGCTCTGGTCTAGCAGCGGAGGATGCTTCCAGCACAGTCAGCGTACACGTCACGAAGGACCCTGATGTCATGACAGCGCTCTCAAACCTCTTGCTGGACGGCGGACTGAACGCGAAAGTGGCAATTGGAGCGGAGCAGCTGACCGACCTCCTCCAGGCCCACCCGCAGAAGTGGATGCAAGTTTACGAAGCCGAGGCCGTTGAGGTACGTAGGCCTAAGTTGGCGCTCAATCGACTTTGGAACCAGCCCGAGAGCATGAAATCCTCTGAACATCTTCTTTCTCGGAGCAAACTGAGCTATCAACCGCCAGCCTTGCTATTTACTTTGTAGAAATATTCCAGCTTGAGTCCGTTGCTTAGGGTGCTGCATGACCGAAGTAACGACATCACCGGAATGGAGTTTTGCCTTCTTGAAGGACCCTCTTCATTTTGGGAGTACTTTTCAAGGACTTTGTTTGCACCAAACGCGATCATTGAGCGTCCAGGGATTTGCTTTTCTTACACAGACCGCTGTCTCGTCACCCTTATCTTTCGGGTGAGAGGAAATCCGAGGCACTATTGTTACTCGAATTGAATCTCTTCTAGAGAGTCAAGGTCATACCCTGCACTGTACTGACTTGCGTGCGCTCATCTGCTTGCAGCCTTTGGTGCGCGTCTTAGGTTTCAAAGGCCAGGTCCGGCTTTTCGCAGTTACGGCCCTGGAAGCCATCATGGCGGCTGCGGTGCGGGAGGCATATGGAAACAACAATAAAGTAGCAGAAAACGTAAGTGCACGGGATGCTCCTTCCGCAGAACTGATTGTCAGCACTACCTGATTGCTCACGAACACCTTTTTATTCGCGTTTGGAATGTTCTTTCAAAAGGAGCTTCGACAGCCGGTTCCAGTTTCAAGCGAACATCTGCGATGCTCTTCGCCTCATGATCCTTGGACCATGGAGCGCCGAACGTTTCGAACTTGGTGCGAGAGGTTTCTGGTTGCAACTTTGAGAATCCTGCTTACCATGAGAGACATTTTGGGCCGCTTTTGCTGAAGGTCGGGTTTTGCTTTGTCGCGTGGAAAAGCACATTCTTTGCATGCAATCTGCAGGCAATAAGTTTCAGTCCGGTCCTTGCCTGAGCGTGTGACCTCCGGTCATTCATCTCTATCGTCTCGTTTCGATCTGTAGACCTGCAACATCTTTTCTGCTTCACAGGCCTGCGGAGAAATCATCGAGAAAGCACGCGACAGCTTGCTCGAGCTTCTGTCGGACGAGAGCCTTGCCATCAGAGGCAAGGCCGCAGAGACGATCGGACACTGTCTGGAAGTGCGGACGATTTCGGTCCTGCTAGCCAAGCAAGAGAAAACCGGCCTGATCACCGGGCTCGTGCACCTGAGTTTCGCGGAGGTGAGCCAATGAAAAGCGCCTGACGAGACTTCCGGCTCAGAATCCGAGTGCCAAAGTGCTGCGACTGCATTTTCTACCAGTTTAAATCTTTCTTGGTATTATTCCCGTCTTGACCTTGAAAAGAAACGAATTGACCGCTAGCCTAAAGATAAGACCAATGTCTACAATCCTGCTCTATTCATGATCAGATGGTACGCCTGACAGAACAAACGGATGCAGGCTGTCGAAGAAAGTATGTAGAGCGTGCGCCAGAGTCAGCGACTGGTCCGGTTGGCCTCTTATGAAAAGGGATTCCCTGTTTTACCCTTAATCGGCTTCTTGTCAATGAAAGCGAAAATGCTCAGCCGTACTCAGCTCGGAACTCGCTGATTCCTTCTTAAGTTGGCTGCCTTCTCAAACGTTGAAGTATACCATCAGTACTTTCGTTGTGCATGAATCTGGAACCTGCAACTCTGCGAACGAGTACCGAGCAAGCTGCCTTCTGACACGTCCTGACCACCATTACGGAGCTGACCGTCTGCTAGATGCTACGAAACGACAGGGAGTTTACGTTAACGTCGATATCATCCGATAAGTCAATCGCGTTTGATGCCAGTGAATCTTTGGCATGCGTCAGCACTGCCTGACATTCCCCGGATGCTACTGCAGGGACTGCACGAGATGATGCACGGGGTCCACGGCCCAGCCACGGTCGAAAGCGTGCGCAGCATCGGCCGCCGCGTGCTCTGCCAGCTAGCAAGAGTCGTCGTCACAAACCAAGCTCAGAGCGCCAAGCTAGCCGCGGACCCGGCACCCGAGGATGTCGTCGACTCCCTCTGGAAGCTCGTCCTCGACCGGGCCACGACGATTGAGGCCTTGGAAATGCTCACATGGCTCGCTCAGGGGGCGCCGTCTGGTCTTTCGGAGCAGTCGGTTGTAGAGGGCGCAGGCGCAAGGGAACGGAAGGCTGTTCTCACGTACCTGTTGGGGCAGGCCGAGAGCAACAAGCCGCTCAGGCTGCCTCTCGCGAAGTTCCTCGCCGGTTTGGCGGCTACCGCGAGCGAGCCGGGCGACTTGCTTGGGACAGCGGGAGTCGACAAACTGTTGCGCCTACTTCAGGCGTTGGTGAAGGAGATCGGAGATGAGCCGGGGGCTGCGGAAGGCTGGGCTTGTGTGTCGCTCGTGGTAGATTTCCTCGCAACGACGTCTTCAGGGGAGGGGGAAGACGAGACACAAGAGGGGTCGGCGGATGTCAAGAGACGAGAGTTGTCGGTGACAACTCTTTTGGAGCTACTGAGGCTCGCGACGAAGGAGTCCGTCCCGAGAGCACGGTTCTCCGATCTCAGTCCTTCGCTTCAAAACTCCATCCAGAGTTCGCAGAGCTCTGCACTGCGCTGTGTCGGAGTCCTCTCGGTCAGCCGGCCGTTTGCGCGGCGTTTCGTCGAAGAGGGAGGAGTCGAGCTAATCTCCATGGTCTTTCAAGCAGTCCGTTCGCGCACCCGAGACTGTGCAGAGGCACTCGCGGGGCTGATGGTGGCGTGCCCGGTGAAAACGGAGGCGGCGCTCAAGAACTCTGCGGCGCTGCTAGGACTTTGCAAGATGCTGGACGGTGGGAACGGCGAGGAGCGACTTGCGGCCCTGCACGTCTTGGACCTGGTGGTATCGACCGGCAGCGTGGCGCAGAATCTGGAGCCGACGTGGCTTTGCCCGGAAGGAGAGGAGTCGGCCAACTGCCGCACAGCTGGCGCGGAGCTGTTTGCCAAGCTCTCAAGCACCAATGGCTGGGGCGATCGGGTAAGCGGCAGAATCTTCTCCTCATCATATGCAATTGGCGTTGTACCGATCGTTTCGCTCACTGCGCTTCGTCCTAGAGATCGACCGGGAGTTGCACATTACTGGCATGGTAGGCTCGCTTGCGTCAAATAGGCAGGCAACAAAGTGCTCTCATACTTGTGCGGGCTGCTTAGTGGACTGTCTTGCTTGAAGTTGGTCTTTGCAGAGCTCCGGTTGTCGGTTTCGCCTTTCAAGTAATCTCGTTGGCAGCATATCAGTACTTCTTCAAAGGCCGCGGCCAGATATTGAGGGTTTCGCATAGCTGTTGGAAAAACCTATGAGCCGCTTCGGAGGCCAGAAGGCTCTGTTTCGCTTCGGAGGCCAAAAAGCTGTCAATTGGCAGACCAGATTGTTGGATCCTGCAAATACTGATCCCGAGCTTGTTGGACCCGAAGGTCAGGGCCGGAAGGGAGGGAATATTTGCATTTTCACAGCCATACTACAGTTATGCGGGCAGGCTACTCGAGGGTCTCAAGCGATGGAATATTGCTCTTTCCATGCCTCACCCGCTATAATCGGTCCCCTTCGAGCTTTATAGCCTGGCTGTCTTGTCACTTGAGTCATTGCGCAGAATATGGAGCGTCACAGCAACACCTGAAGTGAGTGGTCCCCTGCTGCAGGGCACGTCCGCGATCGGCGCGGCTCTCGGCTTCCTCACGGACGCCCAGAAGCGCGGGCTCATGGGCGGCCCCGCAGTACAAAGCGTCTTGCAAGCGCTCAAAGCCCTCACCACCAACCCCCGGCTCTGCGCCGCCCTGACGGGCGACAAGCAGGGGGTCAACGTCCTCGTCCAGGTCGCCAAGCAGCTGAAGACCCCAACCGCCCAGATCATGACGCAAATCAGTGAGTGCGTCCCGGAGACCGCGGCTGCTGACAGCAGATTTGTGGCGGCCCTCGTGAGCCTCTTGGACGACCCGGACGCTCAGAGCTCGGCCGCAGCCGCGTTGGATAAGCTAGCGTCCGGCGCTGCCCATCTAGGAAACGTGGCGGGGGCCGGAAACGCGCACGTTGCCGTTCTGCTGAAGGCCGTTCCGCTTGCGAAAGTGGAAGACAAGATCATGTTGGTGCGGGTTCTCTGGCGGCTGTGCAAAGGGATCGGCGCAGCTGTGATCGAGACAGTCTTGAGCGGCGGGGGGCTGAAGATTCTGTTGACGGCAGCGAAAACCCTGGAGGCGAGCGGGCGAACCGGAGACGCCGTGGTAAGCCGACCTCGGATTCGATGACCGACTCCTAATCATTGCTGAGTTGTACTGGGAGGGGTCCGTTGGCACAGTCCGTTTTCTTGTCATCTTTTTGGGTGCCCGCCTGGCCGATATATTGCCTGCACAACTTGAGGCAGGCCTAGCCAGCTATCTCCGTAGGGGTTGGCCAGATGCCTTTTTCAAGCACGCGCCCAGGGTGTTGAGACTTGACGCGACCTAAGGACAATAGTTTCTCATGATTCGTGAGAGTGAAAGCCTGGAATGCGCGCCGACCTACAAATCAGGACTTTGGCTGGACACATAGAGCCTGTCTGTTTCCCTTCCCTTTCTTAAGTCCGGATGCGTCTTTCTATTATTTTCTGTCTGTCGAGCAAGTTTGATTGTAACTCATGCTCCTGTACTCGCTCTCAGATTGGTCAGAATCTTTTTGTCCTTCACCTTTTGTGACCACTTGATGCGGCACATAACTGCAAACACCCTAGGCTTTCGCTTCAGATCCGAACAGGAAAATTGTTCCGACGAGTTTCACAACCTTGCGGACCAGGAAAAGGTGTTACCCCCTTGTGCGCAGAATTTTGCCAACACCCTGATGATGTGTGAAGCGTCACACTGTGAGCCAGATTTGCACGAGATCGTACGAAAGTTAACCCAAAATTTGCACGCTGGTGACACCCAACATATGCGCCTGGTCCGTTTGCAGGCGTGCCTGGTTGCGATCACCAGCCTCAAGGTCGCTGCGACGGACTTGGGCAGAGACATTGTTGCCGCCAGTGCTACAGCCTTCCTGGTCAAGCTTCTCGAGGCCAGCGTCAAGGGGAGTCGGGAGGACAGGGTCCGTTACGCGGTGTTCTTTCTGGGGTGCGCAGCTCGGGTGGACCCCGACGCTTGCATGCACGCAGGCATCATTCCGGCACTCGAGCTGCATCTGGCGGATGCGAAGAAGAAGGACGAGTGCACTCTTGCGGGGATTGGTAAGCGGGGTGATTTTGAAAAGAGCATGTTTTCGCCTCAAGTAGCACCCCTCGAGAGCTGCCAGCACTTTAGAAGATACAACGTTTTGGAGCTTCAGCAGATTGTTTTGTCAGCTCGGCTTTTAGAGTATCCGTCTTTACGAAGCACAATCTAAAAAGTTATTGAGCTTCGGAAAGACTGGATGTCGTTGATTGGACCGAAAAGGAGCTTTCATTATATAAAGACGAGCGCTGCGCCCTTTTCGTATAGAAGCCAACGCTAAGTCAGATCTTGGGTACTCCTCAAAAGGCTTCGGCCAATTAGAGAGAGAGTCGAGTCAAAGATACTGTCAAACCCCAGTAAACGTAACGTGTTCGAAGACACCAGGCTATCAAAGTCAACGGCAAGGTGTTAACAAAACCGAACACTTTTTAAGTTGGAACTCATCTTTGGCTTGATAATCACCTAATTTACGATCTTTTCTTTGCGCAGAGGTAATAGCTGCCCTGTTAAGCGGGGCAAGCGGGGAGACCGCTAGGGATGCCCTTGTCAAAACAAATGCAGCAGCGCATTGCGCAGCTTTGGCGAGAGCCGGCAAGCGTTGCCCAGGGAAAGCACAAAACGTCTCGTGTGGAGGGGAGTGTATCGCTGAGGCCACGATTGTGACCAAGGAGCTTGCACGCTCGAGGTCGTCAAAAAAGGTGGGTCGTTTTTGTCGAGCTCTTTAAGAACGACTTCTTTTTCACTTTTCAGAAGCAGAGCGAATTGGTTCTCCGCTGGAATGAAAGCCTTCAAGATTGTTGACCCTTCAAACTCCAGGTTCAATCTTATTAATCGCAAATTGCCACGTACACTTGCTGAGCACTGATCTGGATACATGCCAACGGGTAAAAGCAGATTCACCCGGCCAGAGGAAAATTGGTTTTGAACTTCGACAATTTGGCAGCTCGAGCGTTGGGAATGAATCACAACGGCCTTCTCGAAATCTTGCAGTCTTCTTGGCGCGGCATACTTGGATGAGTCAGCTCCAGCCTGGGGTCTTGACCGGTCTTCACCATGGGGAACGAAGGTGGCAAAAGCCACGCCGAGTAGCAGGGCACTACTAGGTTCACCAGCTATACCAAGCACCAGCCATCTTTGTCAGGTATCTATTGGCGAAGTGTCCTTTGAACAGTTAGTGATCACTGACGCTTACAACCAGGGAGAGGTTAATGGAGACAGAGAAGGTTGGATTATTGATGCAAAGAGAGGGTTGTCGTGCTTATGTACTACTAGACTATCGCTGTAAGGTGTACAGGGGAAGCATAGGCCTACCGTTGATTGCAAGATACAGAAAGGGAAAACATGAGCAGACGAAGCAATTGCTCGGATGTGAAGACCATGTATATTGAGCTCTTGCAGTGACCCAACGCATGACCAAAAAATTGCCCGGGCCAGGTCTTGGCTAATATCTAAAAGTCTATCGATTATCCGTGAACTTATGTTTTAGTTGATTGAGTCCGGTCACAGTTACTCACTGTCAGTCCGTGTCCATTGCGGCTGAATGGTGCTTTTTAGAACATTCATATATGCAATCACTAGCACTGCATGCTTCGACGTAGATCTGCTCATCTAACTTGGATGTTGAAGTGACCCGGCGTGACTTGTTTCATTGGCTGAACTCGAGCTAGTGAAGCGTACTTCAGAACAGCAGATCTGCGCATAGCGTTCTAGAAGTAGCGCGCGGACATGCCCCTAACTCGGAGGCCGTAGAAGCCACCACTGCCAGATCGCAAAAAGATTGCCGTGCAGGATAAGGTAGTTTCAGCCGTCCAAAAGTCCATCGACGGTGCAAATGTGACCCATCCAAACACCAGACAGAAAGTAGTGTCAATGACGGGGCAAAAATGCTTTGGGCGTGCACAGTGTGGCTGCGCGTGCACAGTGTGCATTTTGCCGTACCGCCGCACGAGCAAAATGTTACCAGAGGCCACGCGTCGCATGTATCGACCGCCAATTGTACCGCGTGGTCCAAACCTGTAGAGGTACCGTACGGTCACGGAGTCCAGCCTCTACGGGCTATATTCAATTAAATTGACGTTGGGCGGTAGCTTTGGACCGCGCCGCGGAAAACTCGTAGAGGCCGAGTCAATTACAAATTGTTGCCCGTGACTTGACTCGGCCGGTCGCGGCCCGCACGGTGGAAACTTCACCGAGGGTAGACTTTGAGTATAACAGCTAGTTCAAGTCACGGTCGGACATAGTGGTCGGGAGCTATTTGATTTCCCGGTGCTATTCTTTGGAGCTCAACTGCCCCTAACACTGCCGCCGAACCTTATCCTGCAAACGAATCTTACCCAATTCCCCGACCACTTAGCTCCATCAAGCAACCGGGCTGAGTTAGGGGCATGGTCGCAAGCCACTTCTAGAACGCTATGGCGGCGGCAGCAACAGCTCAAATGTCTTAGGCACATGTATTTGGTACCATCGTATGTACGTCAGCATCATGGCATCGATCAATCTTCAAGTTAGGGATCTTCATATACCAGGTAAGTTACCGTCTGTATCGAACAGCGGGACACGCACTGACCACGACGGCTCGAGTCCGCTCGCGCAGCAGGCCCGAGGGCTGGCCCGGCCGCGCCTTGCGCGGTTATACCGCGCACGTATAAAGTACCCTAACGTTTTTGCGCATCTTCGAAGTGTCGCTAGATATTAAGTGACTCAACCCTCACCGTCCGACAGGCTAGGCTCCTCAATCTGAGAAAGTTTTACTAAGACCGACCCAGCTGCTAAGAAAGCTCTTGATAGAGCTCTTGGCACTGGCATGTTTGGTAATAGAAGTGAGAACTAACCCGTGCCAGACCGACGCCTTCAATCCTTCTGTACAGAACATATCGACAGACGACTCAGATGTTTCGAGATTCAGAACGCCGGTTCTCGGAACACAGTACGTACATGTCTGCGCGGCAAGTCTGTAACCTCGGGCCCAATATGTAAGCCATAAAGATACGTTCATTTGCGGCCGTGTCCCGACCAGTGAGCGCCCAGCAGCATGCAGTGGAATAAACACTGCCTCGCCGTGCCTCGAGGCAGCACAGGCTGAGCGACCTCCACCGTTACGGTGTTACGGTAATTTCATGGTATATATAGAAATCCCTCTGATCCCTCATCCGATCGAGCACCTAGTCTCCTCATCCCGGACCACCATCACAGTTGTAGCTCTTGATCAGCATGATAAGGGCATTGAGCCTGGTTGGTGCTGGCCATCGATGCTGGCGCTGCAAGACTGCCAGGAATAGAGAGAGAGTACGTTGCTCCAGAGGGCTGCAGAGGGCTGCAGGGAGCGATAAGAGACGGGAAGCCCTGGGAAAGATACGGAGCAATTTTATAAGGCTTCTTCGTGATAACTAGGAACTGTGTAGGAACCCTCAAATAG